AAAAAAAAAAAAAAGAAAATACTGAAAGCAGATCTGCCTAGATAATGTAGATATTAATGCTTATCACATGTTAAGAGGCCCTGTGACTAATCATACTTTATAAGATCATACTAACCAGAATGTCTTCCAGTTTCATCTCTAACATATCTGTACCAGTAATGTATTTCTTCCAGTCTTCTTCTGGTGCCTGCTCTCCCATATTATCCAGGATTAATTCGAAGAAAATTACTTTCTCAGAAATGGTGCTGAATGTATTGTCAAAGCAAAACATGTAGTCACCAACTTCAGTCTCTATACTGTATATAGAAAACAGGACACATCTTAAGTTATCTGTATTTCTATTTAGAACCAAAGGAAAAACTAACACTAAAAAAAAAAAAAACATGAAAAAAAATGCTTTGTATTTGGGCAGCTACTGATTTCTTTATATTGGAGGATAACTTATAGCTTCTAGAGAAAGAACCTGGAAACAACTATATTCAAGACCTTGCAATGTAGACATACTTGGGATCTATTTGGTGAAGAATATTAAATGATCTAATTTTTGGAAAAGGATAGGATGAAAAGACAAGTACAAGACAGTAAAGTTTAATATTCATACATTATTGAAAATTATTTTATGTTCAATTCATATGCATTCATGATAAGCTATTCTTTGAGATTACCATGTAAACTGAGCTGTTTTGTTTGCAAAAGCAGTAGTGTGGTCTCTTCTGAGCTTCCAACTATGTAAATAATGCTCTGTAGTAGAGTTTACAAAGAATATAGATTAGTTCTACAAAAACACACTCATTTGTGATAAATGTTGGTAGTTTACCTTTGAAAGAAAGTTGAACAGATACTGGTGAATATGGTGGAGGCCAAATTTATGAGGGAAAATAAAAACATTACGTGAATATTAAGTGATCTAAACCAGCTGTGAGGTATTTGCAAAGGAAAACATTCCATCAGATGTAATAGTCTATTACAATAACTATATAGCCAGTATATATGACTCTTGAAGGGCAGTGTTCATTTAGACTGGGCATTCTTAAAGGGTCTGCTATTGGTCAAAAAGGCAAAACATTCATATATAATAATTAGGTTTGCAGCCCTTCAAAGCTCAAACCTGAGTTTTATTCATTAAAATTCTGTTTCTATCACTGGGCTCTTGGGTAGTCTCATAAGCAGCACAAACTCACAGGGAAAACACAAAATGTGAGAACAATACTGCATTTAATGGTATTCTTGGAGGACTGTAGACTGATCTTCATGTCATAGAAGAGAGTCTACAGCACGGTTCCTGACTTCCATTATCTACCCAGTTTTATGTTTAATTGTACATGCCAATTACTAGAGAATTCTATAGAGAATTCAGCCCATTATTATGCAAAGCGCAGAAAAATTCCATACTATCTGAAGGACTAGAACTAGTTAAAAAAGTTTCTCCTATAAAGCAAAAGTAAAAAGTCAATTTATGCTAAAATAATTTTCAGAAAAATTAGTGTAACTTCAGTCATTTTACTTTTGTGGAATAAGGTTTTAAAAAAATCACGGGGCTGGGAAGGTGGCTCAGTGGTAGAGTGCTTGCTTCGCATTCATGAGGCCCTGAGTTAGATTCCTCAGCACCATAAAAGCAGGAAAAAAACAAAAAGCCGGGAATGGTTCTGTGGCTCAAGTGGTTAGAGCCCTAGCCTTGAGCTGAAAAGCTGAGAGATAGCTCACAGGCCCAGAGTTCAGGTACCACGGCTGACCAAAACAAAACAAAAACCAATAAATATTCTATTCTTTTCTCTCAACTAGAGTTAATTCTACAAAATAAATCAAGAATACTCCTTTTTTTCCTCTAGCAGGAATTTTCCCTCAGTTTGCATGTTGTGCTGGTGCTATACCACTTAAGCCACACCTCCAGCTTAGATTTTTTTTTTGGTCGGTCATGGTCCTTGAACTCTGGGCTTGGGCACTGTGCTTGTGCTCTTCATCTCAAGGCAAGTGCTCTACCGCTTGAGCCACAGCACCACTTCCCGTTTTCTAGTGGTTTATTGGAGATAAGAGTCACAAACTTTCCTGCCTGGGCTGGCTTTGAATCGTGATCCTCAGATCTCAGCCTCCTGAGTAGCTAGGATTACAGACGTGAGCCACCAGCGCCTGGCTCCAGTTTAGATTTTTGATGGTTATTTTTGGAGTGGAAACTTGCAGTCTTTCCTGCATAGACTGGCTTCAAGCTGCAATTTTCTACATTTCAATGTCTTGAGTAGCAAGGGTAGGCGTGAGCCACAGGTGCTTGACTTATTTTATTTTTGTCATCTTGGAGCTTCAACTCCACTCCCTGAACTCTTTTGCTCAAAGCTAACATTTTTTTTTCCAGTCAAGGGGCTTGAACTCTAGGCCTGAACGCTGTCCCTCAGCTCTTCAGCTCAAGACAAGAGCTCTACCACTTAAGCCACTGGGCCACTTCTGGTTTTCTGATTGTTTATTGGAGATGAGAGTTTCACAGCCTTTCCTGCCCAGGCTGACTTTGAACGGCAATCCTCAGATCTCAGCTTCTTGAATAGCTAGGATTACAGGAGTGAGCCACCAGTGCCTGGCAGCATTCGACCTCTTGAGCTACAGCACCACTTCTGGTTTTCTAGTGGGAAATGAGACTTTACTGCCGGGGCTGACTGAACTCTGATCCATAGGTCTTAACCTCCTGAGTAGCCAGGATTACAGGCATGAGCTACCAATGCCCAGCATGCCTGATTTTGACAGTTAATTTTGACTTAACACTGTAACAGGGCAGATAATAGGGGTAGATATAAAAGTTGATAATTTTTTTATTCTAAAATTTAAGGATGCAGGCTGGGAAGGTGGCTCAGTGGTAGAGCGCTTGCCTTGCATGCCTGAGGCCCTGGGTTCGATTCCTCAGCACCACATAAGCAAAAAGAAAAAAGCCAGAAGTGGCGCTGTAGCTCAAGTGGTAGAGCGCTAGCCTTGAGCTGAAGAGCTGATGGACAGCGCCCAGGCCCAGAGTTCAGGCCCCACGACCGGACCCCCCAAAAAAATAAAAATAAAATTTAAGGATGAACTAAAGTCTACTTTTTGTTCATATGGTTGTTAAAGACAAAACATGAGGGGTCGAGCTCAGTGGATAACACTTTACTAGTATGTGCAAGGCCCTGGAATTGATACCTAGCACTGCAAAAATAAAAAAAAAGAGGAGAGGGAGGGCTGGGAAGGTGGCTCAGTGGTAGAGTGCTTGCCTTGCATACATTAGGCCCTCCCTGGGTTCGATTCCTCAGCACCATATAAGCAGAAAAAAAGCTGGAAGTGGTGCTGTGGCTCAAGAGTGGTAGAGCGCTAGCCTTGAGCTGAAGAGCTGAGTGACAGTGCCCAGGCTCAGAGTTCAGCTCCCAAAGCTGACACAAAGAGAAAAGTTAGTTCTAAGTGATTCTAAAATGACTTCTAAAATTAAATTGCTATTTCTCTATTCTATATAAGTAAATACATCTTTTAAAGTATTTTAAATTAGTATCCAAAAAATGATGGATAAGGATTAATTCCTATAATTTATTTACACATATATTTAGTGTTTACTGAGTATCAGTTACATGCCAGGCACTTTGGCTAACGAAGGCCAATAGTTATAATAGCTAGTACTTACAACAGGCTATGTGCCAGGGATGTTCTAAACATCATATGGTACAAAGCAAGTTTTGCTTCATCCTGTCTCCACCCTGCATGTGTGTCCCTGCAGACTTACTTAACTTCTGTAGGCATCTTTATCTGTAAAGTGGGAATTGGGAATCAAAGAGTCTGTCTTATCATGGCTTGAAAGACTTAGAAGCATATAACATGCCAATCTTAGCTTATGGTAAATATTAGCTATTCCATATTTGCTTTTCTTCTCTATAAGTTCAGTTTAGTTTGAACATAATTAAAGAGAGTTCTATAAAGTAATAGTACAGGGAACCATGACAATGAGATACGAAAAAAAAGAAATGAGAAAGAAGAAATGCATGGCCTTTTGTTGAACTCTGGATTCTTATTTTCTGTCTATGGCTTCCTATAGCCATATATTTAATAATAATACTTAATGTAAATATTTCATGTTTTATAACCAATTGTAATAACAAAAAGCAAAAAAGGGGCTGGGAATGTGGCTTAGTGGTAGAGTGCTTGTCTAGCATGCATGAAGTTCTGGGTTTGATTCCTCAGTACCACATACACAGAAGTGTATGCAAGTGGTGCTGTGGCTCTAGTAGTAGAGTGCTAGCCTTGAGCAAAAGGAGGTGAGGGACAGCGCCCAGGTCCTGAGTTCAGTCTGCAGAACTGGCAAAAAAAAAAAAAAAAAAGAGATTTAGCTAAACCTAGCTCCTCAGGAGGCTGAGATCTGAGGATAGCCAGCCCAGGCAGGAAAGCCCCAGAAAACCAGAAGTGGTGCTATGGCTCCAGTGGTAGAACACTAATCTTGAGCTGAAGAGCTGAGGGAACAGTGCCCAGGGCCAGAAATCAAGCCCCACGACAAAAAAAAAAAGGCAAGGAAAAATGGTAGCTGGATATTGATCCTATGGTGGCACACTGCTGAAGAAACTAAGGGAAAAAGGATGGAGACAAAGGAATCAATGAACGGAATATGCTTTAGATTAGGAGATGGTACACTATAAGAACTGTATCAAATCATTTGGAATTACCTAATTTATTTCTAAATTTATCTGCCCCTGCAGATAGTCCACTGGTATTTAACTAAAAGAAATAGAGGAGATTACTTACGTGTGAACTCCATCTGTTTTTCTTTGTTCAAAAACTAAGGTTTTCCCTTCTGGAGAGGCAAGATGGAAATCAATATCTAATCCTGCTCCATCTAAAACCTGTGGAAAACCACACAGGAAGAAACTGTTAAAAATTCTGAAAATAAGCCGGGCGCTGGTGGCTCACGCCTGTAATCCTAGCTACTCAGGAGGCTGAGATCTGAGGATCGTGGTTCAAAGCCAGCCCGGGCAGGAAAGACTGTGAGACTCCTATCTCCAATAAACCACCAGAAAACCGGAAGTGGCGCTGTAGCTCAAGTGGTAGAGCGCTTGCCTTGAGCTGAAGAGCTGAGGGACAGCGCCCAGGCCCAGAGTTCAAGCCCCACGACCGTCAAAAAAAAAAAAAAATTCTGAAAATAAATGATACTAAGTAGGTTATATGATGTAAATATTTCCCCCTAAACTAGACAGGCAAGAAAGCCACCAAAGGTACAGTGGGTTAGAAAAGAACCGAATATGCATAGTGTTCACTTTTGGGATATCTCTCCCTTTCTTACATGTTTCTGTTGCCATCACGTATACTTAGGCAGTTTGGATATTATTTAAATTTACTAAGATAGGCTGTCATTGAGAAGCCCTGCAGCCTGCATAACATGGAGGCAATTCAAATGCTTGGTCTTTTACTTATTTAAAACCTAGGCAGCTTGGCACTGGTGGCTCATGCCTGTAATCCTTGCTACTCAGGAGGCTGAGATCTGAGGATTGAGGTTCAAAGCTAGCCCAGGCAAGGAAAGTCCGTGAGACTTATCTCCAATAAACCACTCAAAAAACTGGAAGCGGTGCTGTGGCTCCTGTGGTAGAATGCGTCGGTTGTGGGGCTTGAACTCTGGGCCTGAGTGCTATCCTTCAGCTCAAGGCTAGTGTTCTACCACTTGAGCCATAATGCCACTTCCAGTTTTCTGGTGGTTAATTGGAAATAAGAGTCTCATAGACTTTCCTGCCCAGGCTGGCTTTTTTTGGGGGGGTGTCTGGTCGTGGGGCCTGAACTCTGGGCCTGGGCGCTGTCCCTCAGCTCTTCAGCTCAAGGCTAGCGCTCTACCACTTGAGCCACAGCGCCACTAATGGCTTTTTTCTTTTTGCTTATGTGGTGCTGAGGAATCGAACCCAGGGCCTCATGCATGCAAGGCAAGTGCTCTACCATTGAGCTACCTTCCCAGCCCCCAGGCTGGCTTTTAACTGCGATCCTCAGATCTCAGCTTCCTGAGTAGCTAGGATTACAGACATAAGTACCCACGGCCCAATCACAAAAGTAATTTTTAAGAACATCAAATTTTATTTTCATAACGAATATAACCACCACCACAACCATTTATTGCCAGGCACTGTGCTAAGGCTTTACAGATAGTCTAGTCAATCCAACAACTCTGAGGTAGATATTTTCAAAATCCCTGTTGCCACCCTCACATTTCATTATAGTTAAGGAAATTGAGGCTCAGAGAGATTAAGCAAATCAGCTGAAGTCAAATCCAGGAGAACATCTAATTGTAAAAGATAAAATACATTAAAAATATTAAAATAACAGAATTTGGGCTGCGAATGTGGCTTAGGGTAAAGTACTTGCCTAGCATGCATGACGCTCTGGGTTCAATTCTTCAGTATCACGTACACAGAAAAGGCCATAAAGAGGCGCTGGGGCTCAAATGATAGAGTACTCGCTCGCCTTGAGCAAAAGAAGCTCAGAGACAGTGCCCAGGCCCTGAGTTCAAGCCCCAAGACTGGCCAAAAAAAATTAAAATAACTCAATTTAAAACTAAACTTCCATATAAATTCAGTGTAACATGCTTGGTTAGGAATAAAACAAATTTTGGGGAAGTGGCTCAAGCAGTAGCCTTGAGCTGAAGAGCTGAGGGACAGCGCTCAGGCCCAGAGTTCAAGGCCCACGACGACCAAAAAAAAAAAAATTGGTTAAGTAGATAAATTTCGATGCTGAGTTAAACGTATTAAAATTTAGGGACATCCGATTTGGCAAAATAGTATTTAAGTAATCTAAAAACTCTTGCATTATAAATGCCCTGATTTCTAGCTTCAGCCCAAAAAAAAAAAAAAAAGGGGGCCGCGGGGTAGGGGGCCTCTCAACTGGAAAGCCAGGGCAAAGAAATACACAAAGTTATAAAAGAAGTAGTTGAGCTGGGCGCTGGTGGCTCACGCCTGTAATCCTAGCTACTCAGGAGGCTGAGATCTGAGGATCGAGGTTCAAAGCCAGCCCGGGCAGGAGAGACCGTGAGACTCCTATCTCCAATAAACCACCAGAAAACCGTAAGTGGCGCTGTAGCTCAAGTGGGAGAGTGCTCGCCTTGAGCTGAAGAGCTGAGGACAGTGCCCAGGCCCAGAGTTCAAGTCTCCCAACCGACAAAAATAAATAAATAAAAGAAGTAGTTGAACTTCTCCTCCATCTCCACCATTGGATTGCAGCATTCCTCTAATAAAGACTTGCAAGCACCCTCTCCCTGAGAATTCTGTCAGAACTATATATAACCACAGCACTTTTAGGATAATATATCTCCTCTAATTCAGAATACTACATATCAAAAGGGCTCATATGGTAGATTTACCATAAAGGAACCGTCAATACCTGTATAGTAATTAAATTCGCCATTTTCCAAAGATACTTGGTGTGGCTAGCTAAAGGGTAATACATTGTGACTATTATTCCTTTAAAGTCAGTCAAATAACATCTGTGCTGAACAGGAAAAGATCAAAAGGCATGAAAGTCAAAGTGGTAGAATTTGTGCAAGGCAATTGTTTAGTCATCACAGCTTGGAGTGTGGGCTTTAATATTCTCTTGACAGGATGAGATTTTGAAAATGAATTATGTAGGAAATAGGTAATAAAAGTAGGCTAAAGCTACTGAAGGATCGTACCTTCAAGGTATGAGTAGGTAGAAATGAATCCACCAGGAACTGGAGACCATATAAAAGCTCATGAATCTTGGCCTCAAAATAATAGTAATACAACTCACCAGATAAATTGGAGACTTACACATCAAAGAAGTTTGTAGTTCAAAATTTACTATTCACATGTTTATAGAGAGTCCCAAACAGAGAAATCACTTATGAAAGACTCACCTCCATAGTGAACACGGGAAAAACAAATGCAAAATGTTTTGGAGTGCTATCATATCCTCAACCTAGGTCACATAGGTTGACAAAATTTATTGACATAAAATATACTCCTACTAAGCCATGTGTATGGGGGATAGATTCTGACATGGCTCCCAATGGTCCCTGCCTCTCTGGTACTCACTCTGTGTGTAATGAATGTAATGTGGCAAACATGGAAATGACTTCCATGATTAGGTTACGGAAGGCTGTAACTTCCACCTTGCTAGCTTGAGCTCTCTTAATGGCCCTCCTTAACTTCTCGGTGTGAAGTGAACTTTCCTGTTGCAACAAGTTTTATGGAAAGGATCACAAGGAAAGACTCAAGGAAGGCCTATGGCTAACAGTGTGAGAAAAGGAAGACTTAGTCCAACAACTAGTGAGGAATGGAATCCTATCAACAACCATGAGTGAGCTTGGAAATACATGCTTTCCAGTAGAGCCTGACTGCAATCTTGACAAGCGACTCAGAGCTGAAGATCTACTTAAGAAGTAATTCTGATTTGTACAAACTATGAGTACATTTTGTTTTAAGTCACTAAACTTTGAGGTAATAAAGTAGAGCATTGGGGAAGGAATACATGAACATAAAATCTTTTCTTAGTTAATCAAGTAAGTTGCTCAAATAACAGGAATACTGTACTGGGTGAGTATAACATAAAAATGTTGAATTTTTGTGTCTTTATTCTGAAGGCTCCCATGTTATGTAAAACTAAGCCCAAATAAAGGCCTTTTTTTTCCCCACTGTTAACTTCAGTTCACTTCAACCTTTGGAGGAGTGGAAGGAAAATTTTCCTTTGACCCTAAACTAAGACAATGAAACTAAACCAAGCAGAACAAAATGAAAACTGAGTAATGTACAGTTGCTAATAATTTAATCATGGAGTTGAAAAGTGTAAACAAAGGGCTAAAGATGATTTTCACCCTGCAAATCCCTCCAATGCTATTTCTGTTTAGGGGAGAATGTTTTAGAGAACAAACAAGTCATTTTGTATTTATGTGTGTGTGTTCATTTAAGTATTGTTTGTTAGTCCTGGTGCTTGAACTGAGGGCCTAGGGTACTGTCTCTGAGCTCTTTTGCTCAAAGCTAGTGCTCTATCACTTTGAGCCAAAGTACTGGTTTTCCGGTGGTTAATTTTCTGCCTAGGCTAGCTTCCAATTATTACTCTCAGCTCTCAGCCACTGGAGTAACTAGGATGAGCCACGGGCATTCTGCAGGCTAGTCACTTTAAATATTGACTAAAGATACAAAATATAAAGCTAAAGCAAGCTATATATAACACTAGAGATATAAATGTAAAATAACATTCACTGAATATTTAGTCAGGAATGGCCTTTCAATGGTTTATTAATTTTTTTGAAGAACACTTCATGAAGTAGTTCCTATTCTCTCAGTTTTTAAGAAGCCAAATAACTCCTTCAAGATCACACAGCTGTTTTTAAGAGGCAGGATTTTGAATGTAGGCATTGAATTCAAGAGACCAGTATCTGGTAAATAACAGGAATAATTTGTGATTAAATACTGAGGAACTTTTGATGCATATAATTTTTTGTAACTATTTCACTAGCCCTCTAGTTACAGACTATAATTTTGCTTTCCTTAAATTCTTCTTGCATAATGAAGCCAGCAAATTGCTTCAATTTTCAAAGGCCTTGTACAAAATAAAGGAAAAACTATTTAGCATGATACATAGGGCTGTGTTTTATCATCCAGGACTCAGAATGAGTTGCTGTCTGCTACTCCTACCCTAGACTTTGCATTCTTAAAATCCAATTTAAAACAAAAATCCTCAGTACTTGTACTCTGTATATATACTTGGCTGTAAACATACTATGTCTTTTAAGAATTATGTATATTAATCATCTTTCTCCTTTTTCTGGAATGCACCTCATCTTTCATTCCTATCTCAAGCATCTCTCCAGATTTTTTTCTGGACAGGTGTGTAATTTTCATGTTCAAGCGGTCATCAACTTCAGACCAGAGGCTGTATCCAGATTTAACTTTATATTCTGTAGGAATCTTCTTCTGAAACACAGAGAAGTGACCCTCTTCTAGCAATAATTAATCATACTTTATTGAAACTGCCTACTTGAGAACTTGAACCTTTAATTAAGCTCCTTGAGAACTCTCTACTCCCTTCAAATTACCTGCCACAAATTTTAGCACAACTCAAATCCTAAATTTTGCTAACTACACCACTTTAAATATTTTACTCTGTGTCTGTCTTAAGCATCTATAACTACCTGAATTGTAAAGTTCCTTCCAATAAAAGCTATATAAAATATTTCATTTTAGTCCACAGTTAACAATATTTGGTACTTAAGAAATTCTTTACATCAACTTACAGAGTGAACATTTGGGCTGGGAATATGGCTTAGTGGTAGAATGCTTGCCTAGCATGCTTGAAGCCCTGGGTTCGATTTCTCAGTACCACATAAAAAAAAAAAAGCCAGCGATGCCAGGCGCTGGTAGCTCACGCCTGTAATGCTAGCTACTCAGGAGGCTGACATCTGAGGATCACGGTTCAAAGCCAGCCTGGGCAGGAAAGACCGTGAGACTTTTATCTCCAATAAAACCACCAGAAAAAAGTGGCGCTGTAGCTCAAGTGGTAGAGTGCTAGCCTTGAGCTGAAGAGCTGAGGGACAGCACCCAGGCCCAGAGTTCAGGCCCCACGACCGACAAAAATAAAATAACTGTGGAATCACTGTCCTTTAAGAAATTACCCCTACCAAAATGTCTCCTACATTAAGGCAATTTTACAGATACTAACGAAAAGAAAACGACATGGGGGACGTGTAAACAAAGTTCAGTGATAAAAAGGATAAAAGTGGTGTACTTCTTGATGTTGTTTGATCTAAAAATAAAGGCTATATAACTGTGATGCAACTGTACCATTAAATATGGCAATTACCCCTTCCAACGTAATGTAAAATCGGAATTAGTAAAAATACATGGTGGCAATTTCAAAAATCCTTAACTGAAGTAAAAGCAGGAAGGATTTATAATTAGGTGAAGATTGTGGGAGTGATCCAAATACTAGTGTCGCCACTTTGTCCAATGATAAAGGAGAACGTGTATCCGTTCAGAATGGTGAAATGCTCAGTACCGGAGCGTATGCTTGGCTAGAAGAGCGCTGGGAGAATGAAGAAACAAAGAATACAGCCACCGAAATCATCGGCTTTGGCTTCTTTCCGACCGGAGGAAAGGGAAGGGGACGGGTAAGCGTCAATTCTAGGGCCGACCAAACTTGTCGGTCGCGGGCTCGGGGGGGGGGGGGGGG